GATTAGTGTTTCAAAAACCGGGCGTCAGTATCCGGAATAATCAATTACAGCAACTGTGTAATTTGACTGCCTCAATCTCCGAGCAAGAGTTTCATATCTACCTCGTATTTGTATATAATATCATTGTTTTCATATAATAAAAATTGTTCGTGACGAGGAAAACTTATACAGGGAGGATTTTGTAACAGTATCCATTTTTTTAATTAAATTCTAGACATAAATAGTGTTATATAAAAAATTATAAATAGTTTAAATCATTCGTAATTAATTAATTACATTCATTAGACCTTATCTCAAAAAGTGCGTGGTTTATACCAAACTCGTTTATTTTACGCGCGATCATTCATAACTAACACGCACACAAGTTCGTTTGTGTGTGTGAACAGTATTTATTAATGACTACCGCGTTGTCAACAAGTTCTGTCTTTTAGGGAATAGAATGGTAATTTTTTTGAAAAAGAAAAAGTTTGTTTTAATTTCAATAAACGCTTAAACTACCGAGTCTGAACCTCCTGTGTAAATTTGGGCACCTTTAAAAAAGTCTCCCTGTATAGCAGTTTTATTGACAAAAAAGTTAGCTTATTCAATTATAATCTTAACTGTTTCTTAAACACATAACTCATTTGTTGCCACTGGGGCGCCACCGCAAGACGTCAATTTAAACATTCCTGTCAAATTTAGAGTCATTATAAATTATTTTGAAGATCAAAATGAAAAGCATCACAATATAGAATGGAAATTAACTCTACGGTCGAATTACTTACACTTCCTTTATTTCCTATTAAATAATATTACGTAATAAAATTTTGAAATACGCCTTTTCATTTAAGTTCTTCTTGATAACTTACTTTACCTATTACTGGTTTTTGTTTTTATATTTTTTATATTTAATCAAACACCTCACAATATTAAATGAAACTCTTTTTAAGTGTTTTTCCATATTTATTTTAACCTAACCATTATTTATATATTGTGGCCCACAAAGCAGCTTCTTTTGTTGCAAAATTAAGCTGTTATAACTGGGTCCCACTTTTTGGAACAAATCTGGTGCTTGGCAGGTGACATGGGCGGCTGTATTAATTAATAAAACTACGCCTAATTTCGATAATGAACGTGCTATATTCGAAATTGTTAGTCATTGGAATGTTCTAACTGATGATGCTCTACTCACTTTTATAAATTCGTGAATCCACATTTCTCGAGAAACTTTTTCGGACTTGTGTCATGAGTGTCATCAACTAGTCAACCGCAGCCGACCCACGTTGTCGCTATTTGCATTTTTGAAAAGATACGACGTGACTTCTTGAAGAGTCTATTCGTACCATAAAGGCAACTTATTTGTAAGTCCTCTTATGTTTAGAATGACGATTGACGGTGGTGATCACCATACCGTTTGCTCACTTGCATGCTTTGCTATTTTTTTATGTGAGGCAAGATTTTTTATGGTGTGGGTTTTGGTTACCTCACTCACAGGACGAAACGCAAAAGACTTCACAGACCTCACGGTCGTGGCGCCTACCCGGACGGACCTGCTAGACCTAGTAAGACATAAATAAATTTCTTCTTGTACATCATTAAGTTCGTTCCTTTCGTTTAAGATCATAACATAAACTAGCTGTTTTACTTCCTTGCCACACAATTCGACGTTAATTTGTATCACTTCGATTATGTAGTCGAAATATGAAGCTATTGCCCTAAAAGACGACCTTGTCTAAACACGTGGCTTCATCGCACGCTACTTTACTTGTTTTACTTGTTTAACTTGTTTGTGGCTCTATTTGCATAGCGATACGACGCTCATTTGCATAAAGCAGATATTATAATGTTCAGATAACGGTTACCAGCCTTTTTGGTGGTCGTTTATTGGATTAAATCTTGAGGTACAATAGTCTTATGAGTTTAATTGAAGTGAAACTTCTTTATCGGGGTTGGAAAAAAATTTAGTGTAACATTTTTCCGTTACGCGCCATCTTTTTTTTATCTTAAAATGTTCCTCTAACGCCATCTAGTGTTGAATAGGGGGTTTTATGTCGTCTTTATTCTTTAGTGGTTTTAATAGTTGACGCTAGATGGCGTTAGTTCCTTTGTGTGACACAATATATATATATATATTATATATATATAATATAATTATATATATATATATGTTATATTAAAGTGATCAGCAAAATCAAAAGTTTATTTTAATTCTAATTCTAAAATGTAAACAATATATTTCGTATTTCAGTTACCATAAGCCATTAATAACACAATATATAATAACGACATCAATGATAGTAATAATTCTATTACAATTAATGAAATTCAATAATAATCTTTGTAGTAATGACAGTGCTAGCTCTAATACTTCAGAGCACGACACTGTGTCGACTTCCTCTTCTCCAAAGGCAGGCACCGCCCACCGTGACCTGACTGCGCCTTCCACCGAAGACACAATCTGAAGCTGACCGATGATGCTCTTCGAAGCCTCGATCGGCTCCTGGAACTTGCGGTTGCGACGACGTCGACTTCTACTCACTGGCTGACTATTCGGCAACGAAGGACCATGTACAAATTCAAAGCGGTTGTATTTTGGGTCCGTGAGGTTAATTGAAATAAACAAGGTTCACGTTGCAAGTTTTTAAATCAACAATTTTTGCGGACCCTCATACTAATTACAACGGTCAAACCATAGTGTGTTTTAATTTATTACTAACGCCACCTATGTATTACAAATAAGAAACTAAATATTATACAAAGCTAAAATGAAATAATTGTAGAATTTGTATTTATGTCTATGATAATAAAAGCCTTTTATTAAACTTTATCTAATTTAACTTTATTTAACCAATTTCTGTAAAGTTGCATATAGTAAATTATTTTTTGAAAAATAACGTCATAAAAAAGTTTCACTTCTTACGTGTGTACGCTAGTACACGCACACATTTTTTTTTTTATAGAGGTGGCGTATTGTCATAATTTGACGAGAAATGTTTTAATGTTTCAATATCTAAAGTATTTTTTCATTTACTAAAATTTACCGCAGAGCACTCTTTTCCTTCGACATCCATAAGTCGAGTGGGCCCGATGGCATCCCTCCGATCGTGTTGAAGACATGTGCTGAGTTGGCACCGATTTTGACGCGTCTTTTCCGGCTTTCCTATAGTCTAGGCGTATTCCCTAAATCCTGGAGGGCCGCTTTATTACACCCGATCCCTAAGAAAGGCAACACAGCTCGGATCCGTCAAACTACAGGCCTATAGCCATCACCTCCTTGTTCTCCAAGATAATGGAGACCATCATTAACTGTCAGCTCCTGCGGTACCTAGAGGAGCACCAGCTGATTAGCGACCGCCAGTACGGCTTTCGTTGAGGTCGCTCAGCCGGTGATCTTCTAGTTTACCTGACACACAGATGGGCAGAAGCAGTTGAGAGCAAGGGGAGGCGCTTGCAGCCAGTCTGGACATAGCGAAAGCCTTTGATCTGATGTGGCCCAAAGCACTTCTTTCGAAGCTGCCTTTCTATGGGCTTCCCGGGAAGTTATGCAACTGGATCACCAGCTTTTTGGCAGATCGGAGCATCAAGGTCGTCGTCGACGGTGCATACTCTGGTCCTAAATTTGTCAATGCTGGTATTCCACAAGGCTGCGTACTGTCTCGCACTTTGTTTCTTCTGCATATCAATGATATGTTGCAAATCAGCAACGTTCATTGCTATGCGGACGATAGCACTGTGGATGTCTCGTACACTGGCCTTGCTTTAACATTTCTTTGGAAAACGTCTACGAGAGCCGAAACAAACTTGTGTCTGAAGTCGTAACTTTGTTAACGAAAATCTCAGACTGGGGTCGACTAAACTTAGTCCAATTCAACCCCAATAAGACACAAGTTTGCGCGTTAACCGCTAAAAAGTCCCCATTTGTCGTGACTCCTCATTTTGACAACACTTCCTTGTCTGCCACAGCTAGTATCGGAATACTTGGCGTCGTAATCTCGACCAATGTCTAGTTCCGCGGTCATTTGGAAGGTAAGGCCAAATTGGCCTCAAAGACGCTCGGTGTGCTCAGCAAGGCGAGACAGTCCTTCACGTCGGCTCAACGCCTAAAGCTTTATAAGGCGCAAATTCGGCCCCATATGGAGTACTGCTCCCACCTCTGGGCGGGAGCCCCCTGTTACCAGCTTCTTCCATTTGACCGCATCCAACGTAGAAGAAGAGAATGAGATGATAATGTTATTTAATTTTCTCATTGCTCTTTTCCACCACTTACATCGAAATAGATGATAAAATAAGACATCGAAATAGATGTTATGTAAAAATTTATTATTGTATATTTTTATTGTTTATAGTGCTAATCTTTGCACTTAAGATTGAACATTAAAATATGTAGAAAAAGTGCGAAAAGCAATGGCGACATCTCTCGTTCGAGTTGTTTGTATGCTGGGAAGGATATAACAATAGATGGCGCCAAGAATTGCTTCAAATGCTAAGAAAACTATGTGGAAGAATGCGTTAAGATTTTCGTCGGTGTGGTAATCAGCCGTTTAGCTCAGTGGCTAGAGCCTCAGGCTGCGAATGCCGAAGACGTGGGTTCGATTCCCACAGTGGTGACAATCTTTTCGCACTTTTTCTACATATTTTAGATGTTATATAGTTAGCACATTTTCCTAAGATTCTTGTACGAAATTATTCACTATCCCGAAGAAGCCAGTATGACATTTAGAAGTTGCAACCATATACAAACACATTTCATCAATGTCCGTAATCTAACTCTATGAGTATCTAACAGATATACTTATAGTGAACAGCAACGGTATCCTTATAGGCCTGAATGTATTTGCGTCACTTTGGAGTAGCACATTATTATTATTAATCAATCATCAAACATAACACCTTCAATTGACCTTTGGGGGCTGAAGAAATATTCCATACACCGACGAAAATAGGCAAAAGTAAAATGCGACATTTCACTCATTCAAACTTTTAAGGAAGCAAACGAAATATTCTTTACCACACTCGATTTATTTCATTTCAATTTTTGCGCCAATTTCATTTTTACCACCCTTTAGGAACAGTCTTTGGATGGCGTCTGCGGGTAGGCCCTTGGTCTCGGGGAGCCAGAAGTGGCTGTAGGCTGCGCCGAGGAGGCAAATGCAGGAGAATCCGTAGAAGACCGGTCCCAGTCCCAGCAGTTCCACCAGCGGGTTGAAGATGATCAACGTCACGAAGTTCATTATCCACATGCATGACATAGACATGCTGTTGCCGAGACCGCGTACCTGTAAATTTGGTGTCTTTCTTTATTCTTTTGTAATGTCTGTCTGGAGCTGCTATAGCTCGGCGTCTTAGGTCTTGAATCCGGCAATAACTTGTTAGTAAGAAATTAATAAAAAAAAATTTGTAGTGAACCGAGTCGAGAATCTGAACCATTTTCGAATAGACTTGAAACACATAATTTCATCAAAATCGGTCCAAACGTTTAGGAGGAGTTCAGTCACAAACACACGCACAGAAGAATTGTATAATATATAAAAATGTAATCTTCAATTTGTTGTAGGTGAATTTGTGTCATTTGTATATTGAATTTATGTCAAATCCTATATAAGTAAAGTAACTTTAAGGAATAGTGTGGAGAGTTAGAATGCTGGGATCTGTAAGGTACATAATTAGGGATAGTAAAGGAATACAAATTCAAAGATAATGTGGAACTCAAGACAAGCATTGAATCATATAAGCTGTATCTTTTGTTAAAAATATTTGATAAATATTTGATTATATATGTTATTATACATTTTTTGTTAAAAATCGATGCATTAATTAATAAATATGTCTATTAAAACTGTAGGACGATTTTAGTTATATGTAAAAAAGAAATTGACTTTACTGTATTATAAAATAATATCTTCTGGACATTTGCATGCTGTTTAAAACACCTAATAGGTTAGCTTGACATTTGTGACAACAACAAGATAGCAAGACCAAAACATTTTCTGTACTATCTATTTATCGGCAAATAAAGAAACTAAACTAAACTATCAAAACTAACAAAAAACATGTAGGTATATAAATAGACTTACTTCCGGGAGGAAGACTTCGGCAGTCAGCACGAACGGTACAATCGCCGCTCCCAGATTATAAATGAAGGAGTAAGCGTAGATGAAGAAGGCCGTCATCCAGTGTGGACCCCAGTGGAGATGCAGCTGCGTGCCCAGCAGGAAGGTGCACACAGCCGACCCAACTGAGGTCACCGTCATCAATGACTGGAACAATAAAGGTATTGACGATGAACCTGTAAAGACGTTGGTGACTCCGTGGCGCAGTCGTCAAGGGATTGGCATCGGCATAGGGGGTCGTGGGTTCGATTCCCACACGGGACAACTATTTGTGTGACCCACAGATAGTTGTTTCGCATCTGGGTGTTTGTCCACGTGAAATTTATGTATGTAAAGACGTCCTTGCAACACAGGATACCGTTGTCCTAAAGTGAGGGCAATGTCTTTTTAAAAAAGAAAAAAAAAAAAGACAATTTTGCACTCTTCTGTGACAGCTTATGGCCTATGATATCCGAATCCGTGATCGTCAATAACTATTTTTGTATAGTAAAGTCTGAGCAAACAAAATATTCTTATGTTTTCTAGGGCTCCGTAGCCAAAGGGTAAAACGGGACTTCACTGTCTGTCTTGTCTTCTCTTCACCGATGTCTGTCCGTCTGCCACCAGGCCGTATCGCATGTGCCGTGATTATTAGACAGTTGATATTTTCACAGATGATGTATTCCTGTATGTATTCCTATTTATTTATTTACTTACATATTTATAAATATCTTATTATTATGAATTATGATTGTAGATAAGTATTTTTATTTTTCATTCATTTAGTTAACTCACACCTTTATTCCTAAATTATTTCTTTTTCAATCCATCCAAAGGTTGCCTGGAAGAAATTACTCTTAGTAATGAGGCCGCCCATAGTACCCATTACTTCTACATTAAGTTTTAATTTTTGTTTGTTTTATTTTTGGTGTGCAATAAAGTATATTCATTCATTCATTCATTCATTCATTCCTGTTTCCGCTATAACAAAAAATACTCAATAACTCAGTAGGGCTCCCATACAATAGACATGACAACCGTTTTTATAATTAAAGGTACGAAACCCATCGTGCGCGCGTCCGACTCGCACTTGGCCAAAAAAGGAGGCAAACGAGGATTTGGTCCACCTGGTGGTAAGTGACAGTTATGTTGCAAACAGCTTTAAGTGTTGTTTAAATGTTGCAAGCAACTTAAGTGTGTCGCTATTAAATATAAAACGAGGTTACTTTACTAAGATGTTTCCAATAGCAAAGACATACTATATCAATAAAACAATCTTAAAACTTATAGGGCACGCCATTCTGGGATCCATGCCGTTATCTCTTTAAAAATATGGGTTTACTTAATTATGTACTCACGTAAGAAGTTATACTTCTGTAGCGTAATAAAAGAAAAATAACTTACAATTTGATCCCCTGTGCCAGTACTCTTTGTTTGCGAAAAAGACATTAAATTCAATTGATAACGGTTTAATTAAATAACTATGAATTACAGGTAAATGTAAAGACGTTATTTGTTCGTACGGTAATAGCGTAAAGTTAGGCGAATTTGGTCGCTTTCCAACCAACTTCGTATAAATTTCACTCTCATGTTTTTTTTTTTAAACGCACCAAAACATGTATAACTTCAGAAACAATCAAATTAGAAAGCATCATCCTCTTTTCTTGGTTATGATCCCTTCTTGTCCTTTGTTACACATTATCACGTGCTCAGCGGTGAGGGAAAACATCGTGAGGAAACCTGCATATTTTCGAAATAATAACAAAAAAATATTTCAAAGATATGTGAAGTCCGCCAATTCGCAGTGGGGCCGCGAGGTGGACTATGCCCTGATACCCTCTGTACAGAGGATGCCTTTGCCCAGCAGTGGGACATGTATAAGCTGATACTTTAATTTACTTTAAATGCTGATAATAATGGAGCCGTCATTGCGACTTATACACACCACACCATTTATAGTCCAACCCTTGCATTATCCTGATAAATAACGCTTGAACCATAATTATTAACTGCTTGTTTTAGATAACGTGATAATCGAAACTGGGTCATTGATCAACAAACAAAGCGTCATATCAAACATAAAATTATGTTTGTAATACTACTTATCCTTAACGTTTGCTATGTCAATAAGATTTGTCGGATTGCTTTTCTATGGCAAGTGTTTTATACGCGAATAAACTTGTTTTATTGCGTTATTTTATTGCGGTTAATTATTTCTAAGGGTTAAATAAATCGACTTTCTGTCCGTGCGTCAATTCGATACAAATATAACAATTAAAAAGAGATTTTGTATCGGCTTCGGCGTCGGGAATCGTGGGTTCGATTCCCACGCGGGATAACTATTACAATACAAGAAAGGAAAAAGAAATTTATACACCGATAAACCTGACTTTTAGCACAGCCGAGGACTGTTTTAATGATTACTTAAAAGGCAACATTTATCGTATGTGCTTTAAAGTTGTGGTTAGTGTTTTCTCAGCTTAACTACTACAGTGAAAAGCAGTTTTTTTTATTGTATTTCGAATTCTTATTAATCCCATTTGGTTCAAGTTTTGACGATTCTAACATAAAACAAATAATAGTGAAAACCAAATCACCTTTCTGCCGAACTTATCCACCATAAAGGCACAAACCAAGCTGGCTATTAAGTACGTTAGAGCTAACAGGATGGAGCATAGATTAGGCTGCATCGACGGCACTGCCTCCTTAAACAGTGGCTCCGCATAGACTTGCAGAACTATGGAACCCATAAGGATTGTCACCGACATCACGATGAGTACCGCCACAAGCGCTCTTTTCGAAGACTCGGATTTCACTGAAACAATTCAAATGTACATTTTTCAAATATTTATTAGTTAATAAAAAAAAAATATAAGTCGAATGTATTTTTATTAGGAACTAGCAAACCGATCCGACTGCGCACAGATGCAATTTATTATACATTTAAACCTTGAATTACTCTATCTAGTAAAAAAAACCGCATCAAGATCCATTACTTAGTTTTAAAGATCTAAGCATACAAAGGACAAACAGACAGTGGGACGACTTTGTTTTATACTATGATTAGATAACTCACTTAAAAAGCTCCATTGCGACACGCTACGCTGTTTAACTTTAGCCTCTTTGTTCTTGATCAGCTCTTTCGCCGCAGTTGGATCTATAAGCAATAATTAGTACTTTACAGGACAAAAAAACAATTTCTCTGCGTGATAGAGTTCGTAACGAAGACATCCGCAGTAGAACCAATGTGATCGACATAACTCAGAAGATTAGCTCGTAGAATAGATAACCGTTGGGGAAGAAAGGTTCTCGAGTGGCAGCTTCGAACTGGCTATCGCAGTGTAGGACGACCCCCCACTAGATGGAGTGACGACCTGTGCAAATGTGCGGGAAGTCGATTGATGCAGGTGGCTCAGGATCTTGTCTGGTGGCAATACATGGGGGAGGCCTTTGTTCAGCAGTGAACTCAAACAGGCTGAAATGATGATGATGACGACAGACAGGGTCCATGAAAATCAACCAGTAGGATACATGATGTTCGAAGAAATTTAAATAACAACTCTACCCCTACTGATTCAAATTCAAAATATCTTTATTCAAATAGGCACTGGTGCGTCGAATTTTGCATAGAAATTATAACATAGTAATAGTAAAGTATCAACCTATACATGTCCCACTGCTGGGCAAAGGCCTCCTCTGTACAATGGGTACCAGGGCATAGTCCACCACGTGGCCCCACTGCGGATTGGCGGACTTCACATATCTTCGAAATACTTTTTTTTTATTATTTCGAAAATATGCAATATGGTTTTCTTACGATGTTTTCCTTCACCGCTGAGCACGTGATAATTCAGCACTCAAAATAAATAATTTCAATGGTGCCGGCACCGGAGATCAAATACAGCTAGCTCGAGTATATTGAATTAAAGGCGAGCGCCCGGACACTGAGCTATCACATCTCTTAAATTAAAACATAAGCTCGTAAGTATTTTTTTTATCAGAATTCGAATTCGTTTGTATCCTTTTTTGGATATGTCAGCCTCATTTCTATACGTAGATACACATTCCATCAAAACATGTTGTAAATCCTCCTCAACTCCACACTCATTGTGGATTACAACTCAGAGCGTCTGTTTCCTTCATAATGTATGCAAATTTGTTTGATGGCATATGTCTAGAACGCATCTTAAAAATATTTTTATAATTTTCCTATTATAATTCCGTTGTAAAAACCATGGCATATGAAGAGGCTCCTTAAATTTGCGCTTAAATTGATCAAGTGACAGACTTAATATCGGCTGTGGGACATTATTACACTACTCTCTATACTACTCTACTACCCTGCGTCTTATCATTAACTACCATTTGAAACATCGACGTGGTTGCAAGTTATGGTAAGTAGGTCTATATTTTTGCTGTACCTATAGCTCTAGTTCATAAGAATTAATTACACAATTACTATAACAATGAACTATTTATACGCTAACATTTCTTTTCTCGTTAAAAAAATGTAAACGCTCGTTTTTTCCATGGCTAAAAGTTTGAAGACTCGTTGACAGCTATTATGTAATACAGGACCGGTACTATAATCAACATTTAATTAACCTCGACAATAAGTGGTAGAAAACCAAGACATCGATTAAAACAATTTACGTAACGCGAAGCCGTTGCATTAGGGATGTTAATAAAAGTGAATTTTATCGATACATGTTGAGCCACCAAGAGCTATTTTGATAGTTTAGACTTTAGACTAGCATTTAAACTGAATTACCTTGATATTTTTATAAAGTGTATTAGCAGACTGCAGACGTCCTGTACACACGTCTTACTATTCGACAACAACTTATAAGTAAAGCAAGAATTAAAAAAAAACATCTAGCCGGTGGTAGGGCCACGCAGCAGCCTCGGCTGTTGCACGAATGGGCAAGCTCGTCCAGGTAACTACCACGAACTCACAGAAGACCGGCGTAAAGTGGAAGTATAATACTTTCGCGTTTCGTCCGATGAGTGAGGTAGTCGGAGCGAAATTTTTAAAAGGTTGTCAACGCATCTGCAAACCCTAGGATGTAGCAGATGTCCATGGGCGGTGGTATTCACTTAACATCAGGTGAACCACGTGCTCGCTTGGCAACTTATGACATTTAAAAAAAACATTTTGTAGTTGATCGAATTGTGAATCTAAACCATTTTCAAATCCACTTGAACAAACAAAATTTTATCAAAATTGGAACAGTCCTTTAGGACTTTAGTCACGTACACACGCAAAAAGTATTATATACATAAAGATATGTATCCCCGGTTAAACAACCACGCGGTCAAAATCAAAACTAAGTCCAGGACTATCTGTTTACCAGTGTTTTTTTTTTTTTTTTAATTTATTGGGACATAAAACAGTTATACATTAACAATTATACATAAAATGGATTTTCTAATTATTAAACTAAACGAACCTAACCCACACCAATGTCCGCAAAATAATATTAAGTTAAATAAAATAAAAAGAGTAAGTCGGTTCCTAACCTAATTTGCATATTACTTTTTAAGTATTAATGTAACCATTCTTTTAAATTGATTTTGGGAAAGTGAAAACAAATCGCAATTCATAAATTTAGAGTTATATACATCTAGCACTCTACGAAGCGGTGCTCGCTGCCCAGCATTTGTTCTACACTTTTCAGTGTAGAACAATCGGGGCACGCGTGCATCGCGTATGGTAACTCTTCTTGGTACAATGTAAGCAATCCTGTTAGTAAGCTCAATACAGTCGAATTTATTATTACATAATCCATATAACAGCATAGCCATAGCGAGAGTGCGCCTGGACTCCAAACTCAATATCTCATATTTTTCTAATAATTGTACATAAGAAAGCCTAGCGTGAAAACATTTAAAGTGCATAGTGCGTAAGAATTTCTTTTGTACAATCTCTATTCTTGAAATGTATTTTTCATAGAAGGGATTCCATATTGGAACAGCAAATTCTAATTGAGAACGAACCAAGGTTTTGTATAAGAGTAGGAAAGTCGAAGGACGCTTAAAGTCATCGGTCGAACGCATAACAAATCCAAAAAACCTAAAAGCATTATTAATAATATTATCAATGTGTATATTAAAGTGCAGCTTTGAATCTAGAGTCACACCAAGATCTCTAATAAAGTAATTGAAACTAAGTAAATTTTTCTTTTTTGTAAAAGATATCATTTTACATTTGGGTAGACTTAGGTTCAATTTATTTTCTAGACAGTATCTAGAAAATCTGTTCAGATCTTCCTGGAGAAATATGCAATCCTCCAGAGTTCGACATGTCTTGTAAATTTTGATATCGTCGGCGTACATTAAAAAATTTGAATGAAGAAAACAAAATTTGAGATCATTGATGAATAGAATAAAGAGAAGAGGCCCTAAGATAGATCCTTGAGGAACCCCAGAAGGAACAAATATATAATCTGATTCAAAGCCATTAATAACGATTTTCTGCGTCCTTCGAAATATGTATGACGAAAACCACCGCAGTAAATTTCCACGAATGCCATTATATACTATCTTGTCCAGAAGTAATTTATGATCCACCTTGTCGAAGGCTTTTTGAAAGTCAGTGTATACTTTATCAGTTTGCTGTTGCGAATCCATGTTTTATTGATTGTTGTGTTGATTGCAAACAAAGCATTTAATCTTATGTACAGAGATTAGCACTATAAAAAACTTTAAATTTCAAAAAAATTTAATGGCGACATCTCTCGTTCGAGTTATCGTTGTAAAACGATATTAGAAATTGTTTGTATGCTGGGAAGGATATAACAATAGATGCGCCAAGCATTGCTTCAAATGCTAAAAAACAATGTAGAAAAAAGACGTTAAGATTTTTGTCGGTGTGGCAATCAGCCGTTTAGCTTAGTGGCAACAGCGTCAGGCCGCGAATACCGAAGACGTGGGTTCGATTCCCACAGCGGCGACAATCTTTACGTACTTTTTCTACACTAAAACTATGCATCAAGTTGCTTTAATCTATATTATAGCCTTGATAGTCAGTGCATGGGCGCTTGCTTTTAATTCAATATACTTGAGAACCTGCGTTCAAAGGTTAATTTAAGTGCTACATTATCACTGTTCATGTGATAAAAAAAAGAAATATTTCAAATTATGGTATATGCCCTAATACTGCTTCTGTACAGATGAAGACTTTGCCAAGCAGTGCCTTGTACAGACTGTAATATAATGGTTTGATCTAAATGCTGTGTTTAATGTCGATAAATCATATAGCATTCTATCGATATACAGATATATCGCATCCTTTCGTAAACCCCTATCACTCGTTGTATTTAATTTAAAAGTCGCACCAATCGACATCTCTAACAAGTTATATTTTAAACAAGAATTTCAATGTATGTAAATGAATTTATCATTACTACGCTAGTGGAATTATCACGATGTAAATTAAAGGAAACCTGTTTTAATTATTCGGCGATAACTTTAATTTAACCGACATTGAATTCATTAAACGGTCAACCTTAAGAATAAAACGTTCCCGCGTTTTTAACCCTAAAAAAAGTCCCCATAGGAAAGACTGTTTATAAACATTAGCACTGTCAGGCGGAGGTAAATAAAACAAAACTATATAAGTCTCCAGACCTCCACGTTAATTGCTACCAGCTTTTCTTTACGTGGGAAAAATCCTTTATGGATCCCCCGGCGCCGTGTAGATAGGCAGCATGGGTACCATTCCCGCACGGTAAAACTATTTGTGTGACCCACAGATACTTCGCATCTGGGTGTTTGTCCACATGAAATTTATGTATGTGAAACGTCCTTACAACACAGGATAATGTTATCCTAAAGTAAGCGCAATGTTTTAAAAAAAATAAGAAAATCATATTATGCGTTAGATACGTCATGGGCGATTATTTCCAACAGTGTTCTGACGACCAAGGGAGGCATCATAAGCCAAGAATTGTTCGTATGACTGGTCAACCTACAGAAGCTAAAACACCGGCTTAAGGTCAAAAATATAAATACTATTATGCATATTCTCATCGAACTGCGAACTCAGTTTAAGGGATATTCAGGAAAAAAACAGAATAATGACGCGTACTTTAAATAAATAAGGTGTTATCAACAATGTCGTAAAGACATTAATAAACGTATCTGCAACATAAATAGCAGGTCATAAAGGCTCTGAATTCTGCTTTATCTTAATAATGGCTTATCAAAACAATCTTTAGTATTACTCCCCGTTATCAGTCAATGACCGATTTTGTTACTCCGAGGGCAGTAAAAGGGCAAAGCCCCTTTCAAATAAGTCTCCCTACATTCTCAGGGTTATTTTACGACGCAGTGACAAGGCTATAGCTATTACGTGGTCGTGCGTTCCGTGATTAGTTTGATCAATTACCAACACTAAACACTCAGGCAAGGGCGGATCCAAGCGGGGGGTCATGGAGGTCATGACCCCCCCCTGGGCTGAGTCTAGGACCTAGGTGGACCACTAATTAAAATTGTTAAACATAATGTTTTAACATTAAAATATGTAGAAAAAGTGCGAAAAGATTGTCGCCGCTGTGGGAATCGAACCCACGTCTTCGGCATTCGCGGCCTGACGCTCTAGCCACTGAGCTAAACGGCTGATTACCACACCGACGAAAATCTTAACGCGTGTGGAATAATGTGGAAGAATGCGTTAAGATTTTCGTCGGTGTGGTAATCAGCCGTTTAGCTCAGTGGCTAGAGCGTCAGGCCGCGAATGCCGAAGACGTGGGTTCGATTCCCACAGCGGCGACAATCTTTTCGCACTTTTCTACATATTTTAATGTTCAATCTTAAGTGCAAATATTAGCACTATAAACAATTTAAATTTATAATGTTTTAATATATTTTTTGCCACAATATAGATTTTATGTACCTTCAATATTTAATTAAATTAATATAATATTTTTAACCGACTTCAAAGGGAGGAGTTTCTCATTTTGATTGGTATTTTTTTCCGATTACGTTGAGATTTATGATCCGATTTACGTGATTCTTCTTTAGTTTGTTGCAGTATAGTTGCCATTTATTCCCATAAAAATTTACCATAGTTTGGCCAAGTAGTTTTCATTTTATGAACATTTATACAATATTTTGATGTTAAATCATCATATTAAATTTGATCTACTTCTCGGTTACCGGTTGAGCGAGACAATGCAATATTTTTATGACATGATTCTGATCTGATGATGGAGCTGGAAGGAAGGCCAAAGGAACTTCGAATCAAACCACAGAGCCTCATCGGTACATTTGAATAGTATTGACGAGTAGTTTTTCTTTCATTGGTAACCAGGATCTGATGATGGAGCTCCATCTTCAGCCGTCCATGGACATATGCATAGGGTTGCTGATGCGTTTTCTCCTTATAATAAAGTGTGCTCCAGCTACCTCACTCAGAAGACAAATCGCAGAAGTACTTTACGCCGATCTTCTGTGAGATCTATGAGGCTATTCTGTGAGGTTCCTATGACTACTCTGTAATGAAACGACTCAACCCCATCGAGTTTCTGCTCGTTTGTTTCGTCTTGGCGAGTACTTAATTTTTAGATGGTTACCAGGGTCTGATCTGATGATGGAGCTGGAAGACAGTCATATGAACTCAGTAAAGAAACGACGCAACCCTATTGTGTCTCGGCGCGTTTGATTCGCCATGACGAGTTCTTTGGTGCTAGATGGTAGCCAGGGTCTGATGACAGAGCTGATATGTGGCCATAGGAACTCAGTAATTAAGGAACACAACTGCGTCGAGTTTGATTTGTCTTAATGGGTGGTGAGATGTGGTGGTTTAGTGGACGTGAGTATGCGAGAACATCTTTGGGAAATAAAGTTTTTTGTGAATGTGGATTCTGTCTTTGATTAGATGGATTAGAAGCGCTGAATATTATGGATGAATGAATGAATAAATATTTTTTTTGTTATTTATGAACTTTTTTTTAATGTGGACGATGTAATTTTATTTTGTGTACGGCTATTTTAGGTGTTTTCATTTGGGTTGATTATATATTATTATTAAACCGTGTCCCGATAGTCCTGTCTTAGGCTGCTCGTCATTGAAGTGGAGCCAGCGTGCGGAGTAGAGGAATAGAGAATATTATAACCAATACGACTACAGAAAATCTCGTAACGAAGAAATAAATAAAATAAATTCCAAAAATAAGTAAGCCTACCAATAGCTACTTAAAAAATACTACACAGGGAGGCTTTTCTAAGTGTATCCATTTTTTTTATCAAATGCTAAACATAAATAATGTTTATAAATAATGATATATATTTAAAATCACTCGTAATTAACTAATTACATTCATTTGAACTTACCTCAGAAAGTGCGTGATTTATGGGCAACTCATTTATTTTACGCGCGATCATTCATAGCTAACGATTTTTTTTATATCGTCTAGAAACGAATTTGTGTGCGTACACAAATTCGTTTCAAAAGTATACGACGCATTTATGAATGACTACCTCATTGTCAACAAGTTTGTTATTTAAGGAATGGAATGCCAATTTAATCTATGATCATAAAAATTAAGTTATAACTTCTTATCACTTGACCACGACTACGTGACCCACCCTGGCACCAAAGCTGGATCCGCCCTTGCACTCAGGTAGTTATTGCCGCTAATACAAGCTAAGTTGGACTTGCGGGTCGCCAATGAGGACATTAATGACTATCTTTTGTGTTCTAATAACGCGGTTCGGGCGACAAGCCTGTTGCACTAGTCACTATCTTACCGCACCTGCATCAAATTGCGCAATGACCGGTGCTTCCTTCAATATAATCGACCACCGGCAAACCGCGGCGCCTTTCGTCGACCTAACTTGATTGGACATCCCTCAGTGTCTTAAATAATTAGTGTTAAACTTAATGATTGTGGCAAATTGACGTTTGCTGAGTGTAATTTACAATATGAACAATTTTACATATAAAAATTTGCGTACAATATTTTGGGAAAGTGGCGAAAATAAGAATACTCTCTTAGTTTAGCTAATAGTTACAAGAAAAAAGAGATTTTTAGAAAATTTCGTTGTTAATATTCGATATAAATTAAATCTACATAAATCTAATTTAAATATAATAAATAAGAGAATAAATTAATTAAAATATGTAGAAAAAGTGCGAAAAGATTGTCGCCGCTGTGGGAATCGAACCCCACAAGATTAGCACTATAAACAATTTAAATTTCTAAAAAAGCAATGGCGACATCTCTCGTTCGAATTATCGTTGTAAAACGATATTCGAAATTGTTTGTATGCTGGAAAGGATATGACAATAGATGGCGCCAAGCATTGCTTCAAATGCTAAGAAAACAATGTGGAAGAATGCGTTGAAATTTTCGTCGGTGTGTCAATCAGCCGTTTAGCTCAGTGGCTAGAGCGTCAGGCCGCGAATGCCGAAGACGTGGGTTCGATTCCCACAGCGGCGACAATCTTTTCGCACTTTTTCTACATATTTTAATGTTCAATCTTAAGTGCAAAGATTAGCACTATAAACAATTTAAATTTCCAAATAAATTAATGTTCATATAAGTCACTTATCTGACAGACCCTGGTCTATGATTTCATGTTCTGTTTTCTACCACGTAATCCTTCATAAAGCGAAATTATGTAAATATGAAAATCTTACATAATAGACTAATAGTAAGCAGAGACGACTCCTCAATAAATTATCGTAATACAATTCACAAAACATGGTGTTTTCCTGTTTTTTTTTTAAAGAAACTAAGAGTATAGTAAACAACGTATCGATTACTTGAGTGACGGTTCGTTAACATGGTAGGGCCACGCAGTAGCTTCGGCTGTTGCACGAATGAGCAAGCTCATCCGGGTAAGTACAACGAAAACTCTCACAGAAAACCGGCGTAAAGTGGAAATATAATACTTTCGCGTTTCGTCTGGTGAGTGAGGTGGCCGGAGCCCAATTTTCATAAGGTTATCGCATCTGCAAACCCTCGAGTGTAGCAGATGTCCATGGGCGGTGGTATTCACTTAACATCAGGTGAACCACCTGCTCGCTTGGCTACTTTTCACATAAAAAAAACATAAGGAACTAGCTGTTTCCTCCCATTTTCATCCGTGAGAAACCTTTCCGCTTCGCCCTCGTAGCTCGTAGCGTTATGTTAAATACGGGCTATCAAATGCAAAAAGATTTTTCCAAATCCGACTGAACCACGAGATCAGTGCGTCAATGTACTCACGCTAAACACGTACAACTTCTTACGTGAGTACATAAGTATACGGATGCTTTTCTTTTACTCAATTAAATTGCACAAACCGCATTCTCCTTGGAGTATCTCGTTTATCCTGGGGTCCATTTGCTGCTTGATCCTCGTAATCTCTATTTCGACCTCCTTCGAAGTCGGTGACGCGCGCCTGTAGAACGCTATCGACTTTGCCGCCTCCTGAAAAGTGCATTAAAATCCATACTAATATTATAAATGCGAAAGTAACTCTGTCTGTCTGTCTCGCTTTCACGCCAAAACTACTGAACCGATTTAAATGAAATTTGGTGCACAGATAGTCTAGAGCCTGAGAAAGGACATAGGCTATGTTTTAATTGGAAGAAAGTTTTGTAAAGGTTGAAAATATTTTTATTTTTAAATATATATATAATTTTTAAAGAAAGATATTCATTTAAGGACTTCAACGGGAGCGAAGCCGCGGGGGAAAAGCTAGTATAATATATATTCATTCATAATACATAATAAAATATTCATTCATTCATTCATTATATTCACAGAGCGAAAATATAACTTTGCTAACTACTCTGTGTCCTTATCATTGCGGACTTAAGAAATGTTTGCTTTTTGTTTTTGTCATATTTACGTAAATGCAAAGTGGTAACATATCAAACGAGCGACAATCGCAAAATGTTTCCAGTTCCAATTTTGATACGATTATAAATTTTATATATTAGCAGTCCCGAAAACGTGTTCTGCCACATAAATTATTTCTAGGGAATTATAGGGTAGAAAAAACTGTTTAGGGTTGACCACCCTTAACATTTAGGGGGATGAATGAAATAGATGTTGTCCGATTCTCTAGCCTGGCCGATATGCACACAAAATTTCACGAAAATTGGTCGAGCCGTTTCGCTGGAGTTCAATTACAAACACCGTGACAGGAGAATTTTATATATTAGAGAGATTTTTCGTTTAACATGAAACATTTTATTTATTGAATGAAATATATAAAATGTATGAATTATATCTGATAACAGATAAGTTTAAACAAAAAGATCTTGATTCATCAGAGTTGCCAACTTATATCAGTAAAGAGGTATTATTAACGTGAATTCATTTTTAATTTACCAGAGTTATTAAGAAACCGTTAACAAAATTTGGATGTCCCATAGCGACATAAGTCAATTGATTTACGTATTTGGAGAAAACCGCAAAAAAAAAAGTTGCATATAAGCTGTTCCCTTTAAACTAATGAAAATATTTTTATTAAACATCCCTCAATATTTATACTTACTACAAATTTCAATTAGTTTTATTTGAATAAACTTACAGAGGTTTTTAAGAAAAGTGGAAGCATTAAAAAAGTCAGGAAAACTTTAATAACATGACATGAATTTGTAATATTTATAATATTACATATAAGCTGAATACGCAATATTTATACTATTATATGCAGCTCATTTTAAGTTTTCTAAATTAGTAACTTTTTGTATCTTTTCATCGAAAAGAAATACATCTGTTCAACTGCAAATAAAGAAAAATTAAGCATTACTCAAAAACAAGTGACGTAGCAGCTGGTGGCAAGATCGGTCATCAAGCTTGGTGAGATCTATATTAAGAAGAAGCATTTTCATCTTATCACAATCTTAGAGGACTACGCAACAAACCCATGGGCGTTGTTTATTTCTATGGGCTGCGGTAATAATTTCCTGCTAAAACAAAATTCTGTATGTGGCGAGTAGAAAATCTACTTGCGACATACAGAAATTTGTTTTTTAATTTGACTGTGGTCGGCCCACACAGCAGCCTTTGTCATTTTACGAATGGGCAGGGTCTTCCGGGTAAGTACCACGGCCTCACAGGAAGAAGAAGAATTATAAGTGAAGTATTATACTTTTATGTTTCGTTTGGTGAGTAAGGTAACCATAATGACCCACTTTCTTAAAAGGTGGGTAACGCATCTGCAACACTACGTGTGTTGCATATGGCTTATGACCCAAATGGCTTAGTACTTCCTCCTGCACCAGAGGGTGGGCTTCGATCCCCACTACTGGAAAAATGTTGTGTGATGAACATAGTATTTTTCTAGTGTCTGGGTGTTTATATATGTATAATATGTATTTATTTACAAAAGAAAAGTACAATAGAAAAGTGTTTATCAGTTATCTAGTACCCATAGTGCAAGCGTTGCTTAGTTTGGGACTAGAGAACGTTGTGGTAAAATGTGTTCTATAAATATTACATATTATATAAAAACACTAATCATCAAGGGAACCAGATCGCTTGTAACCTTCTCAATTAACTAAAAAAATAAAGAAGATGCTTAACCCACCTTATCTTTCCCAATCTGGACGAGATACACCGGTGACTCCTCCAGAAAGAGCAGCAAGACCATGTACAGGACAGACAACCCCAAGTGCACATAGGCAACTTCATGGTACGTCAGCTGACCTCCAATCGCGTACGAGAACAGTAGTCCGGCGAAGAAACCGGACACCGTGGTCGAAGTCAAAGCCCCTCTTATGGAGTCTTGGGATATCTCAGATATGTAGACAGAGGAGACCGCCTGCCCAGCAGCTCCAAAGCCGCCTATCCCCACTGCAGCTATGACCAGCGCAGGCCATCTTGTGACGGATATTATGGCCCATGAGATCTAAAAAATATTAGTTATAATAATTATGTAAACAGTGTAGTTCCGCAAGGGTTAATACCACGCATCACAAAAGACCGGCGTGAAGTGTTACACTTCTGCGTTTCGTCTGGTGAGTGAGGTAGCCGGGGCCCATGTTATTAAAAGGTGGCAACGCATCTGCAACCTTACGGGTGTTAAAAAGGTGAACCGCTAGATCGTTTGCCACTTTCTCGCATAAAAAATGAAACTAAGGAAAAATTCAAAACTAAGAACTAAAAAAAATTCAAAACTAAGTACTAAGGAAAAATTAAAAACTAATAAGTATGAAAAATAAAACAATATAGATTTATTGGAATATAAAGATTTCTTTGAAGATATTTAAAACTCACAACGTATGGCAATCCGTATAGAATTGCAGCGTACTTCCTGCCGAACTTGTTCACGGCGTATCCGCAGAACGGGGTCGCCACGAGACCACCGACGTTTGTCAGACTGCCGAGGAGAGATATCTCAGTGGGAGTCATTGGCGTAGAGAGCACGGTGCCATTCGACCTGAACATGTCGAGCGTGTAGGACGGCCATGCGTATATAAAACCAGTCAATGTTGTCAGATACGCGACTGTAAAGAAATGCCATATTACTCATGGTTTATTATAACTATTTAACGAATTTCATATGTGATTTTATTGCATATTTTTATATGCTACAAGTAAGTCACATCCGACCATGTAATTTATAAAAATATGAAATCCAAGTAGGTACATCAATACTGCACTTCAACAAGATAGTATAAGGTATTTTTGTGTCATATATCCGTCTTATGACGCGAAACATGTGAGGCTTTTTGTGAATAAATTTAAATTTCATTCAGGGAAATTGCTACAATATTTACCCCTCTGTTGTCAACAATCTTTATAATACAAACATTCTATTCGAAAATCCTTGAACCTACGATATCAAATTTTATCTGTAGTAATATAATATATATATATAATACCCCGTCTTTTTATTTATTTTAACTTAACAAACAAACGATCGTACGTATGTAATTTCCATGAATATTAATAATTTTTTATACTTTTTATTATACTGTCTTACTCGCCTGCCTAAATAAGTCAACAACTTCTGTAAAAGTGTTTTGCTAATAAATTATGACAGGCGACGTGTTATCAAAAGAATCATTATTCACGTACAGTAAATTCTATAATCCTGAGTTCTTGAAGATCTTGGTTCACCTGTTTCACCTATTCCACTACCATATGGCAAAAGAGCTCGTTGACAACTTCCCATAAACCATCCAGAGTGTATCAACAATCTGATTAACGTAGGTTCAACTAACTTTCATACCTATTTCGTATCAGGATTTACTATAGCACCATAAATGAAAACGTAAAAAAATCGCTTAACATCCATGTACATTATAAACACATATTGATTGTTCTCAAGAATTTACACGAGCAATTAATTCTATATAGGAAAACAAAGTACGATCACTAGCTTATCTGTAAACATATTATGAGATCGTAACAAACTTTCCACTAACTTGACAGAGTCGCCAATCCTTGCACTGCGAGAGCAGATGGTCTCACTTTTTCACTTCCCATTCTCCCTTTATCTATTTTCGCTGCACGTCAATTCATCAGCTCAAATCTGCCGCCAATGATTGGCATCCCTCTAGCCACGTAAGAACTTTTACTACATTGTTATACGAACTATAGTGCCACGTTTACAGCACTGGATTATGTATGTAAGCCCAGTTAAGGGTAAAATCACACGCGCTAAGGTTAGAATGAGAATGTTAAATATGTGATATTATTTTCATAAATGCATACGCTTTTTACGCGTAATAAGCTTCTTCGTCTTCTTAAGGCTTATTGGAGGTAAAAATAGCCGGTGCTATTATAGTTGCTACTAAATATCAAGACAACTAAGTCTCAAGTCTCGACTTGTGTGCAACAGTACACTGTGTAAAGTATTGCTTTGTTCATTTGTACGGAATTTTATGACACGAGATGATTTTGCAAAGAAGTGAACAAAACTCATTGGTAGAGAAAGTCTTCAACTGATGGTTCTAATATTTATCAACTCCTGTCGTGTTATGACTTTATATATTTTAATTTTAATTAGAACCCTAGAACCAGTATAAGGTTTGGTGAGTATGTAAATAAGTATTGGTGAGTAAGTAAATGTACTCTTTTTATTAAATCTCTGAGCGGAAAGGTTTCCTTATCTATTTTCTTCTTTCCTTCTCTTCTCCTTTTTTTAATATAAGGTTTTCCTCTTTCTGTGTGTAATTCTAATTTTGCGTCATGTCATTATTTGTTTATTATTTCGGCCTGTCTAGAGTAAAAAGAGTTAAAGCTACTATTCCAAGAAGTGGCTTTTCTTAAGTGATATGATATACGTTACTTTTTTACTATTTATATACGAGACATAAATGCCGCTTTAATAATAATTAATAAATCGTTCATATTAATTGTATTCGTCATTAGTGCATTTTACCCTACGACTGTCGCGTCAAATGAAATAATTGTGGACAATAAATTTCAACAAACAGTTACCGTGAGATAAATTGTAATAACCGCCATATTTTGTTGTATGGTTGACAGATGAGTTTCTTCCCTTCGACAATCAATTGAGCAGATATTCTTAAATAAATAATAACAAATCACATAAATTACTTATAATTGACAGCTAGGATGATGACATTTGAGTTGTCTCCTCGCACACTACCACTACGTACTGTCGTGAATTCAATCCCCAAAATGTGACCAACAAACAATTGCGCTGAATTTGACTATACTTAGTACGATTTCACATTTTTTTTTTATGCGAAAAGTTGTCAAACGAACAGACGGTTCACCTGATGTTAAGTGAATACCGCCGCCCATGGACATCCGCCACACCCGAGGGTTACAGATGCGTTGACAACCTTTTGAAAATTGGGCTCCGGCTACCTCACTCACCAGACGAAACGCGAAAGTATTTGTCATACTGCCACTTTACGCTGGTCTTCTGTGAGGTCGTGGTACTTACCCGGACGGGCCTGCCCATTCGTGTAACAGTCGAAGCTGCTGCGTGGCCCTACCACCGTAAAATTGCTATTAAATGCCCGCAGCAGGGGGATTTTTCCTTGTAAGTTCACGCAAAAATCCTCACGGCATATATATAACCCTAATCGCATGCAAAGAGCTGCTAGTAGAAGAGATCTATAGTAGGGCCACGCAATTAACTGTGGTACGGCCTCGCAACTGCTTCTGTGGTTGGCAACAGCCTGTTGCATAACTGGGCAAGTTCCTTTGGGGACGAACTGCGCCATCACAGACGATCAGCGTAAAGTTGAAGTATTACTGATTTTCCGTCTGTTGGAGAAGGTATCTGGGGCCCACTGTTTTTAAACTTTAGCAACGCACCCGCAACCTTTCAGGTGTTGAGATCACTATGAAGCGATAAGGCCACCAAATTGTACATTGCATAAATTTTTTGTTCTATCTTATCCTATAAACGAGCAATTCTTGTAAATATATATACATACATACATATATACATACATACATATATACATATACATATATACATATACATATATACATATACATATATACATATACATATATACATATACATATATACATATATTTATAATCGGAATCTCGGAAATGGCTCCAGCGATTTTCATGAAATTTAGTATGCGATGATGATTCGGGGGCGAAAAATCGATTTAGCTAGGTCTCATTTTTAGAAAATGTCCTTTTATCCCTGTTTTCAGGGAATGAAAAATATCATTCGAATATGACAGTAGCTCGGTCGGTAATCGGGTGGCCCCAAAATGGACGGCCGCGGTTCGTATCACGATCATTTACACACTTATTTTTTTCTATACCAGAACATTTTCTTTATTTTTTAATTTTTTTATTTCCAAAATACATGATTTACCAAAAAAACCGAGTCCTTGTCACTTTATGTATACTCTCATATGTGGTGGACAATAAAAGTGTAAAAATTCATTCATTCATTGTCTATTGACGGCGGTAATCATATAACATCAAGTGATCCGTCTGCTCGCAAAAAGCAGGCAAAACTTTTCACAAAAAAAGAGATTTTTTTAACTAAATTGACTAACCTCACAAAAAAAGAGATTTTTTTAACTAAATTGATTAACCTGTGCTAGGCCTTTATCCCACTAAATGGATAGTGAACTCACTACAGTAATTCCATTTCATTTTATTTTATCGAGCAACAAAATCCACAGCCCTTATAGGTACATGTCTATCACATATGCTTAACTAATCCACGAAAGAATTTACATTTTATATTTAAAATATAAAATATTATTGAGCACTTTAGGAGCAAACGATGAGCTTAAAAAAAAAATAAACCTAAGTTAATTCTATTTCCATTTCGGTGAAGGTATAAAATGAAAAACTTGATGAATGCAGACCAAATGGAAAATGCAGAATAAATCTAGTGCTAAAACCTCAATGATGAATTGTTCACCTCACCAGCTCTACATCACCGCTAGCTTCGCCAATTTTTCTTCTGTCGGTACTGACGGCTTCGTTGCAGATGCCAACGTGGCAGCAAGTTTAGACACATTAAATGAATAAACACCGGCTCAAGAATATCTGCCTTTAAACACGGAAACAAATACGATGTTAAGATTACAAACATTGATATGTAAAATGTGTTTTAACAATCCGAAAAACATAATCTCTTTTGTTTACGCAATTTTTAGATATATTTAAGTGAAACTATTTTAGGCATTTTATTCGTCTATATTATTTTATTTATGTTTTATCGTCATCGTGCATCGTCAAAGTGCTGAATGAACTTATTTACGTTTTAATGTAACAAGTAAGCCACGCTGCAATAACCCCAAATAAATTATATATTAATTCTTCATTTTAATATATATCCATCAATTTCAATTTCAAATGGTCACTTACTTACGAACTTATGTATTAATTTTTATGTAGAATTTCGACTTTTCATAAAATCGCGCGAGTGTCTGTTTGAATAAAGATATTTCAAATTTGAATTACGGTCCGTTTTAATGAGAATGAGTTTTGAGTTGAAATCTTTGCTGCAGAAACTCAAACTTAGAAAAATCGTTTGATTTGTGTGCATCGATGGTGTATAGAAGGTGATGATGATGTGTAGAAGTCGAGAGTTTAGAAACATAACGCGACAGAACACCTAATACAGTATCGTATGGTAATCGGAACAACATTAACGGTCACTTTATATTCTGAGCCACTTTATATAAGAGCCGTGATAGCTCAGTGTCCGGGCGCTCGCCTTTAATTTAATAAACTCGAGCAACCTGAGTTCGATCCCCGGTGCCGGCACAAATGAAGTTTTTAACTTTAAGTGCTGACTTGGAAGGAAAGGAAAACATCGTGAGGAAACCTGCATATTTTCGAAATAGTAAAAAAATATATTTCGAAGATATGTGAAGTCCGCAGTGGGGCCGCGTGGTGGACTATGCCCTGATACCCTCTGTATAGAGGAGGCCTTTGCCCAGCAGTGGGACACATATAGGCTATTACTTTACTTTACTTTTTTTTATATTCTGAGTGAAAAAAAATGTTTCATTTGTTTTCACAGAAAGGAAAATTAAAAGATGAATAGAGAAAGACTGAGAGAAATAAAGGAAGGAAGAAAAGTAGGAAGAAGAAATCTTTCGCTTTGCAGCCCACAGCGGAATGCGACCATTGTGACGTGTGTGCCAGATGGCAGGGTATAAAGAATTATTCCCACTTAACTGTAATGAGGTGACAGAACCGTGAAAGTGGAAATCCTCAAATCGTACCCTTTGCCTATCCATTTTAATGAGAGACGTGAGTGTATGTATTATTTTATTCTTGAAAATCTCTTATGTTATGCTTCTTCTTTTTTTCTCCTTTCCCATCTAGGGGTTGCACCACGTGAGAGTCATATTGTTAATGGTATTAGCCGGGTTGTTTATGACCTTCCGCCTGCATAACGTCAACCCTCCCTGGGGAAACTGACCCAGTTCAGAAACAATTATCCCACAAATAATGTCCCATGTGGGAATTGAACCCGGGAGAACTCCGGCGGCGAAGCGTTTCATGTCACAATGTGAAAAACGTATAAACTAATAAATTGCTTAAATATTGTCTCTTCTTAATGAGCCCTCAAAGTCCAGCGTTAGGGGATTCTCTTTCAATTCAATATACTCGAGCAACAAGAGTTCAAATCTACTACAAATTGTTATATGTAATTTTAAGTGCTGAATTATCAAGAGCCCAGTGGTGAAGAAAACATCGTGAGGAAACCTACACATTTTCGAAATAGTAAAAAAAACTTTTGCAAGATATGTGAAGAATACTAGTCAGAGGTGGTTTATGGCTCTTATACCCTCTGTACATACTTTGTCCTGCAGAACAAACAGTACTTTGTCCAGCAGAAGGACATACATAATATGTAGGCTGTTAGTTTACATTTCTTACACTGGCTCAAAGTTACTATTACTATTCGAATGACGCCTTTCGCTTTCTTCTATGTGTATTAAAAAAAACAAATGAAGATATCAAATACCTACTAATACCAGAATAAACGTCATTATCATTAAAAGTATTCTTTTATATTTCATCTATTATCACTTACCTTATAGGCTAGCAACCTTACTTGAACGCCTCACTTGAATTAAAGCATACTATTGGAAAGCCAGACGTCTATATTGTATTTACACTTACTCAATAGATACTATGGGTATTTACACGCACTCATTCCTGTAATTCGTTAAAAACATATTCGAATAACATACGCGTAAACAACATGGCGTGGAAATATATTAAGTGCGTGTAAACACAGGTAAATGTTGAATTTTCTGCGTTTTATCATAGGCCGCAACTATTATGAAGTTTTGAATTAAATTTGTAGTGGTGTGTGCACTATAAAAAGTGTGCAATGTGTGCAATAAAGATAAGCTAAACAAGCCGTACGATACAAAACATTTTAACAATATAGTCAGTATGTCAACAGAACGTAACGTGTCATTGAAAACACTTGAAATAGTCGTGATTTGATATAGTTTTGAAAGGCCAGACTGAGATTGCGCCACGTATTTATGATCCAATTTCTTTTCTGTCTATATATTTTGTTAATAATAACAATAATATTATTAAATTTTTGATAAAGTTAATGTACGCACAATTCTATTTATTTCTTTGGCTGAGATTACTTTTTGTAGTTGTGCGGGAATGTTAATTTAAACTAGTGCGAGTCGGATTAAGTCGCATAAAGGTTTCCTTACCATCTATAAAAAGGCAACAAAATCATGTCTGTTCTATGGGAGCCCCACTTAAATATTTCCTATTCTGTTATTGAGATGTTCTAGCGGCAACAGAAATATAACATCTGTTATAGTTTCAACTGTCTTACTATCACGGTTCATGAGATACAGCCTGCTGGAAGACGAACAGACAGAAAGACAGAGCGACAGCGGAATCTTAGTAACAGGGTCCCGTTTTACCCTTTGGGTACGGAACCCAAAAAAGGGACTACATTTAACTACGTTTAAACTTTAGTATGTTAAATAATTGTGATTTTGCAACGCTATCAATAAAAGCGCGTACGTTCCATTTTCGTGTCCTTTTACGCAAAAGAAAAACTTAAACTTGAACATAATTCGACACTTTTATTGAAATTATTTAAACCTCAATAAAAACAGAGTGGCTGACTGGCTAACTTCTTAATAACTAATCAGGCCCAAAAACTAGTTTTTGATATCCGTTTGGAAAATATTTTACAAGGCAGAATTAAAACACAGATTCACAAATAACTGTTTATTTTTGTATCTTATTTAATATTTACAATACAAAAATTATAAATAAAAGAATGCGATCTTAAAATGCACATCACATAATCTTTATGGTCTTATTTTGGTGTGAGAATGATAAAATCGCACGATAATAATATTCTTAGTCTACGCATATCTGTTGGCAGTGATAAATTAGTATTATTAATTGTTAATTGTATCTACACTTCTATACCTCTACTTCGCCTTAAGAATATAACAATGAACTATTTCAATCAATTCTGTTGGTTTCTGAGTAACAATATTTTAAACATTTAGACATTTAGTACAAGTATTATTTTAAACATTTGAGTCACAAGTAAGGGAGTTCTAGTTTACATCGATCACTTCAATTTAGTCAAAGTAAACTTATATAAAAATTAATTTGCTTATTGTTTCGTAATAAGAATTATCATATAAAATCCCAAGGCTTGGTATAGAATATTGCACGTAATATTCTGTACCAAGAATATATTATTATAAATCAATGGACGTCATACATTAAATCTAACAAAAATTCTTAGTATTCGTATCGTCTAAGAAAACTTCATAGATCCACGGGATCTTTGCCAGCAAATTGTCACTGCGAGGCTGCTTATCAAAGAGCCAACGAGGACAAGGAAACCGCCCCACATTGCTGCCAGCTGCGAGATGCAGAACCCTGGATTCTCCTGTGGCAGGTCTTCGGCAAACACTACCCTCAAGCCTTTTCCTATGGTGGTAACGGGGTCTACTGTGCGGTTGCCGATGTGAATGACGTCTCGACGCCGCCGCCTTGGTTCCGTACTACCTGGGTTGGGACATGCTTCGCAATCCGTCTTGCAGAGTTCCACCTCGCACTGGATAATAAGATCCATTTCGTCGGGGAACTTGAAAGCGTTAAAGTAAGCGTACGCTATGATCGAAGCACCGGTATTTCCCGTGTCTCTGGTCTTCTGGAATGAACCAAACAGCTTGGGTTTCAGAACGCAACCATTGCTGTCAGTTAAGGGAACGACATGACGATTTCCAGAATCGCGCGCAATGCACTCTCTGACGAATATATCGAATCCGGCGTCCCCTGTCACCGATACAACTAACGTCATTGTCTCTCCTATCTTGATTAGTCCATTGGCTTCTGGCGCGAAGGGACCTTTGCCGGTCTGAATATCTAATCGAGCCATGGCCGTATCACCGCTAAAGTTGCTTGTAATCTGATTCAACATACCGACACTCAGTGACGACACCAATTGCTTGGTCAAATTGCCCTCCCATAAACATCTCACTCTGCGAATGTGATCCCAAACCTCTTGGATTCCCGGCTCGTTCTGCAATACCAATACGTTCTCCAAGTAAGCCTGGCCCTCGTTTTCAAAGTCACTGAAGAATCTGGTGCCGCACGTGTTCAAGCTGACAGTGAAAGAGTATTTGATCTGGTTCGAATTCTCTCGTACATACACGCATTCCGAGTCGCTGTAATGGTCTTGAGAGTAAATGATCCCGTTGTATACTTTGTTAAATTCGATGTTTATGGTCATCATTTCCTTGCCGCAGTCTACTGTAATTGCATGAATATGGGGAGGGTGGCGATCTTCTTCATCTGGCGAGGATGGTGACGGGGACTGCGCGCTATTGTCAGCGTCAGGGTTTGATGAATCAGTTTGCGGTCCTTGCTGCGGAGTTTCGTATGGTGGCAGAGTCGTCTCGTCAGGTATGTTTGGTTGACTAGGTTGGTACGGCGGCGAGGTTGGCTGACTAGGCTGGTAACTGGGCTGCGACGGTTGATAAGATGGCTGCGAAGGCTGATAAGCGGGCTGAGTTGACTGGCCCTGATAGGATGAATCTGACGGACTAGGTTGATAGGACGGAGAAGAGGGCTGACTCGGTTGATATGAGGGTGATGCACTTGGTTGGTAAGACGGCTCGTAAGACTGGCTAGATGGGAACGGTGACGGTGAAGGTTGACTCGGTTGATAAGATTGGGTGGGTTGACTTGACGGGAAGCTTTGCTGGGAGGGCTTACTGGGTATGTAAAGTGACTGGTCCGTTTGGCTAGACTGGTACGGCGGCTGGCTCGGGGCGGGCGAACTTGGCTGATAGCCTGGACTCGCTGAAGGGCCCTCGCTGTACGAGGGAGTAGGACGTGAGCCAGCTGGTGGATAGCCAACGGGCGGAAGGTAGGACGGCGGCTCGAACGGCCTCGGTCTTTCGGGCTTACCACCGAAGTACTGTCGCGCTGAAAATATACAAACATCGTTAACGGATAAAAAGTGATACATCGTAAATTTTGTGCATGTTTGTGCGATAGTAAAATGGTGTTCGAGTGTTTGTGCTAAGTGGCTGTGATTGATGTGGTTGGCTTAAAATGGGTCAAGCGTGACTGAGATGAGTCTGCGGTGCAAATATTTGCCATCCCTAAAATAGATAGTGTCTATGCCATAGTGAATGGCGAGCAAAACAAATGAATAAATTACTCCTTATATTTAGGTCCTCCTTTATCTCAGTTCTCTACTTTATAGCGTATTGTGACTTTAATTGTAACTCATATCACGTAATTAAGTATCAGTATTGTTTTAATTGTCCTCGCACAACAGAATGTATACATTCAGAAAGGAATAACATTTTCCTATAATATATAAAAAAAATCATTCATAATAAATACGGCAAACGAATATAAGTGAATATAGGCCGTGACGTATTTAATCCATGACGACGATGATGAATTTTAGGACAGAAAAATGTTGCTCCGATATTTTTCAGTTTACGAAATTTATGTCATAGTATAGTTTTGAGTCTTCTCTAAAATCGTACAGTTCCTGTACTATCTGGATTCTTTTGTGGATTTTTAGAGTTCCGTACTGAAAGAGTAAAACAGAACCCTATTACTAAGACTTCGCTGTCTGTCTGTCTGTCTGTCTGTCTGTCTCTCAGACTCTCAGTCTGTCTGTCTGTCTGTCTGTCCGTCTGTCACCATGCTGTATCTCATGAACTGTGATAGTTAGACAGTTAATGTATTTCAATTGTCGCTATAACAACAAATACTAAAAAACGGAATAAGGAAATATTTTAGTTCGGCTCCCATATATCATACATGACTTTTTTAACGTTTTTATAGATAATGGTACGGAACCCTTGGCGCGCGAGTCTGATTCGCGCTTGGTCCGTTCTTTGTCTTAAAGAAGTACGTGGTTCACCCTGAGGTACGTCGTCACCATCACTCGTTTTTGGAACTACAGGAGCGTTCCTCTTATTGTTGTTTTTGTATTTACCTAATTTATCTGTTATTTTTACAATATCTAATAATTATTCTTTATAACAGCACATTAGTCCCGGACCTTTCCTACTCTTCTGTTGGTACAACCCCTGAATCCAGTGCAGCAGGTTGTCCACCATTGCGTCTACCTCCGCTTGCTGGCCAGGCTGGAGTTCGGCTGGAAACGACCTCGTCATCATGAGCGTCATCAAAAACGACTGGTAGTTCCACCACCCGGGATTAACCGATTCTGGGTTGAAGAATTTACACGAGGAGGGTTCTAAGAGAGTCCAACTTAGCAGACAGTGGAAGAAGAATGCGGCTACGATAGAATTCTAATTCCATACGAAATTTAATGATAGCGTTAGATTAGACTAACTCCAAACAAAGATACAAGACTTTTCAAAACAACCATATAAATCCACACATGCATATAAGGGAACGTTGTTAAAGACGCTACAGAAACAGAAAATTATAAAGAAGGGAACTGTTAAATAATATTCGAGAAAGTGTTAAATATTTATAAAACAAACCATTTATAAGTACAGAGTGTTATACGTCATCGTTTACTTTTTTTTTACTTTCAAAAAATTCGAAATATCAAGAAAGAAATCCAAAAAGATTCTAAATAAAATACCTAAAGAAAGGAAAGGAAATTTTTATTTATATGTAAATAATCAGACAGTATATATTTATTTAATATTTCATACACTTTTTAGAATGAAATAAGTTTATTTACAACAAGTATAATAAGTAACATAAATGTATATAGAAAGAATCAAAACGCTTACATCAAGAGGAATATAAGGATCAGTACATAATGAATTGCACTTTATTCTTTTTTAAATGAAATGCAACTCTCAATATAGGACGTTATATATATACAAACTTATCGTATATTGAACTTTAATTATACAGATTATCTGAGGGTCGCACAAATACTCGTCCCGTGAAGAATCAAACCAAAACCCGATGCCGAAACCAGATTCAAATTGCCAGTTCACCTCATGTTATGTGATAGCTGCCGCCCATGGACATTTGCAACGCCCGTAGTGTCCGTTTACCTTTCAATAAAGTGGGCCCCGGCTACCTCACTCACCAGACGAAACGCAGAAGTATAACACTTCCGCTTCACGCCGGTCTTCTGCGAGGTCGTGGTACTTCCCCGGACGGACCTGCCCATTCGTGCAACAGCAAACACTACTGCGCGCCTATACCACAGTAACCAAAATCTTAAGGACTGCGCCAACTGAGCCTTCCTATCATCAGGTACCGTTGTCACGTATTTTAAATATCGTTAAATCTCATTAATAACACGTATTTCATTTAACATTTATTTACGACCAATTCGAAGTTACGAATATATGTAATACCCATCTATCAAACGTAACCAAAAATCATTTTAAACTTTATCGACTTCAGAAAAATTCTAGGCAAATTTTACTATCAACATCAACTGAAACACACTTTTTTAAGGGCAATAGTATTAGGTAGTTAAACATTGTAATTATTTAAGTTAATAAATAGAGAGATATACATAATTAGCTGAAACATGAAATAAGAAAACAGGCAGAACGTAGAACATGATCGAGTGCTTTCATGAGGTTTCAAACAATCTCAAAGGGGTTTTCAGATGGCGTAATGTAAATAATAAGTAAACGAAGTATATCTTGTTTAAATTTTTAAGTTCAACAATTAAGTTCCAACTACGTTATGTCACATATAAAAACGTCGTTAGGGAACTTTAAGTTGAAATGTTTAATATTTAAAAAGTGTCATTAGACCCGTTGAAATTGTTTTATCAGAGAAACGAATGAATTAACTTAAAAAAAATCAATATTTTCAATAATTGAGTCTAAGAGAAATTATACAGGCTTTGCAGGCTGCCTGTAAAACATAACAAAACCTCCTTCTTAAAGTTGTTAAAACTCTACTAGAGCTGTTGAAGATTTGCCGTCTTTTATGATAAGAATAGACTTTTTTCTCTTTAAAAATCCCTAAGCCGTATATTTTTAAACTTTTTGAATTACGACCGTTTGTACGAAGGCCAGTCCTAAACATGTCCGAAAACTAGATATTTATCATATTAAGAACTCAATGATTTAAATCTAGAATTTACTTATTTTTGATAGGGTTAGAGCTGGCGATTTTCTTATATTTAAATCATTGTTTCAATTTCACATGTCGTTTCTGAGATATTTGGTTATTTTAAAAAATAAAGCTAACGCATTTCATTTATTCAGCTATAAACAGCAGTGTTAACTATGACGACCCGAGTAGCGATTGTACCTGTATCATATGCCAGTGCGTGTAATGTATTGTGGGCTACGTTTCCCACTACTGGTACAATATTATATGATGAGCATAGTGTTTTCCAGTGTCTAAATGTTTACATATCTACAGTATTTATTTATTTAAAAAGTATATTTATTACTTATCTAGTTCCCATTGCATAAGCTTTGCTTAGTTGAACGAACAGACCACAAAGCGTTATATAAAAATGTATCCTGAAATATGTATTATTGTTACTAAACAAAAGTAGAGTTTAAATTATAAGGGCCACATAAAAATATGAATTTTACGGACATTTTTAAGACGGAAATGGTCATCGTCGTTTATTTTTTAATCCATTTGTTTCTCTATTGCTTTATGTATTCTGTTGTTTCGTGTACATACCATTTCTAGATCGTTTTTTTGGTTCTGTAAAATAAATAACATATGGAATATTTGAATGCGAATAAATAATAATTCGTTAATATATATAGCCTTATTTCTAATCGAAAGATAGCATTTTTACATTTCACCCATTTTCCTTTTATTTACAATAATCTTCTTTATGGCTTTTTTTAAATTATATTTTGTAAAATAAAATAGTATATATTATAAAAAGTAAATAGAAATTCTTTACGTGTAAATATTACATCATAAGAAAGCCCTTGTCTTGATTCCATATTGATATGCGCATCCAGCGTTTATATTCTGGACTTGAATTATGGTGTCAAATCATTAATATTTTGAATAGTAGGAGGATGTAAGAAGTATCCTGCAGTATTCAGGTAATATATGCAAGCGCCATTACAAATCGCTTTCAATTTTTTTTATGGCTTTGCAGCGTAAAGGGGAGGCAAGAACACTTACATAGACTCTCGTATCTTAAAGATGAGTACATTTTTTCCTAGTTTGCAATTTAATTCCAACACTTACGGAATCTCGATGGAGCCTCCGAAGCTGCCGCCACAGAAAAGAGGACAGCGACTAACGCCACCGTAACGCCACATCGAAGCATCTGGAATGGAAAGTAAATCGAGGTCCATTAAATTTGCAAACCCAAAACCAGAGGAACAAATATCAATAGATGTAATAGCTAGATACAGCAACTGTGGTAGGGCCACGCAGCAGCCTCGGCTGTTGCACGAATGGGCAGGCTCGTCCGGGTAAGTACCACGACCTCGCAGAAGACCGGCGTAAAGTGGAAGTATAATACTTTCGCGTTTCGTCTGTTGAGTGAGGTAGCCGGAGCCCAATGTTGAAAAAGGTTGTCAACGATCTGCAACCCTCGGGTGTAGCAGATGTCCATGGGCGATGTTATTCACTTATAACATCAGGTGAACCGCCTGCTCTCTTGGCAGCTTTTCACATAAAACAAGCTAAGTTCATCATGACCAAAAAATGCTTGTACCTAAATAGACATAGATATAGTACCTAAGTTTACCAAACATCATGACCAAACAATATTTTTACCTATATAGATATAGAAGTTTATTTGCCGTTTTTGCTCAAATGGCACACCGTGCCGTCTATAATAAAACAAATCTTGTCCCGTGTTAATCAAAGCTACGAAATATATGAAATATCAGTAATTTAATTTTAATGAACTGGGATGGAGTCCTTATTGTCTTTTTATTAATTAATGATAATGGCTAAATATAGCAACAAGTCTGTTTTATTTCACATAATGGCTTGAGTCGAGTTTTACATAACATGACATATATAAGTGAACGTGACAGATGTTATAGAATGTATGATATGGAAAGAGATTGCAATCTATAGAATTGCAATTTAATTACACCAATTGGTGTAATTTAAATGCCTAACTTGAATTTCGATGCACCAGTTTCGTATATACATTATAATATCACTAGGTGTTAACCGCGACTTTGCCAGCGCGGCCAAAGAGAATTAACAAAGAGTTTTGTTTATATATCAGAATATCTCGTAGATGGCCGAATTTTTTCCTACTTCGGTGACACGTATCACTACCTATATTTTCGACAATTCACACAATATCTTTATAAATTATAGCCTATGTGCTATTATGATGTATGAGCTATGTTATTGTAAAGCTGCATTAAATTTAATTCAGTAGTTTTTGCGTTAAAGAGTAACAAACATCCATCCATACATTCAAACTTTCGTCTTTATAATATTAGTAAAGATTTTTTTTAACAAATTAAAATGCACTTGAAAGACACTGGAGCGATCACATCCGCTGCTTCCATTGCTTTAGAAATCGCTAAAAATGTATTAATAATAAAAAAAGACATTACAAAGGAGTCAAGATCGAATGACAGAGATAATTAAACCGTTACAAACAAAACATTGAAGTGTCCGAATTAAACGCGTCTCAACCAGACAACAATAAAACAAATGTAACAGAATACCGAAAATAATGGTCGATGGGGGGCGATAAAAAAATAACTGAAATTACTATGTCAAGGCGAATTCTGTTAGAGATAGAGTCTATTGTTGCTCGCGCGATCGCCGACGATAAATCAAACGGCTGGGAATCGAACCTGTGACCACAATGCACAATCGCCCACTGCGCTTGCGTAACTGCCTGTTTCGGTTCAGATGAAGCTAATTGAATCAGCCGTATTCAATTCAACTACGATGGCCGCGAAAGAAAATTTTAAAAGGACACTCATTTAAACACAGTTCTTGATATACAGGATGACCTACCCCGACTTCGGGCAAATATATCAAGCTAATATACGTAAACTTTTTCATTTAACAGTGAGCCTAAACACTAAACTTGTGTAATTGCGAGTAAGGCAAGACCTTTCATTAGAGAACATTTTCAAAATTGTCTTACTATGAAATAATCTAATATATAAAAATTCTCGTGTCACGGTGTTTGTAATTGAACTCTTCCGAAACGGCTCGACCGATTTTCGTGAAATTTTGTGTGCTTATCGGCCAG